ACGGATTTATCAAAAAGCACTGATTGAACGAAAAAGCACAGAGACACGTCAAAAGACTTGTCAAGGGAGACAAATTTTTAACCAAAAACTACTTCATCCTCTTTCAACCTCTTCTTTATTTTAACGTTTTTTAAAAACTATTCATTTGTTTACAAGAAAATTAGAAAAAATCTTTAATTACCTTAATTTGCTTATACAGGGTGACTTTGAAGTTGAGTCATTAATTTTCAGATAATGATTGTAGAAGGAAGATAAACCAAAATATGTGTGTAAAAATAAAAAAAAAATAAAAAAATTTTTTTACCTTGTTTTATAAAGTATCCTCCCGACAAGTATTTCAGTGCGGACCTGTATTTGATCGTGAGGTCCCCTGTGAGGTCTGAAGTCACCTGATTCACGAGCCCGTTGTACTACATTAACAAAGGCACGAGGGGTTGGTTGCACTCGATTGGGAAACCGATCCGCATAAACATGTGCCATTTTTTATTTAGTTTGAGCCAAGCAACAGACACTATTCACACGCGACTGACACTGACTGTATGTATAACTGAACTGAATAAAATAAACATCGTTCCAAATTCTTTCGCTTTTTTGTTTCCGATGCGATGAACCGATAAGGTGGATTATATCCGTTGTTGCCAAACACGAGTACATGATATTATTGAGACAGGGCGGTACTCAAACTTCCAAAGGGCTATAACTTTGTTACTTTAATTTTACCAGAAAAATGGTAAAGGAAAAAAACATTTCTTTTGATCAGATCTACTCACTGTTAAAATAAATGACTCAACACGAAAATATCACTTTTTATTTCAATAAGTCTTCGAAATGTTGCCCGTTATTGGCCAGACAATGACATAGACGATGTTCAAATTTCTGACGGACATTTATAAAAACGTGTTGTGGGATATCGTGGCAGCTTTCGATGATGGGTTGACGAAGTTCCTCCAAACGTTCAGGTTGGGGAGTAAACACAATGGATTCCAAATGGTCACATAGAAAAAAGTCTAATGGCATCAAATCTGAAGATTTAGCAGGCCATAAAGTAATAATTAGTCACAAAGAGAAAAGCAGAACTGTCTGGATTAGCAAAGGATTAATAACATCGGCAATAGAAAAAGAAAGACTGTATAATGTAACGAAACTAACTACAGAAAATATCGACTACTACAACCAATATAAAAATAAATTTATAGAGCTTGCAAGGCAAACCAAACGAAAACATTACCTAAATAAATTGAATAATAACTTTAAAGATCCTAAGCGGCTTTGGACAACTATTGATGAGATTACTCGGAAAACAAAATTTAAAGAGTGTCACTCAGTTAAATACAACATCGGGAACAGTATTAAAAAAACTCAACAAATATAGGATGAATTTGTACAATTTTTTACTGACATAGGCGAAAACTTAGCAAGTAATATAAGCAAATGATCCCAATACTCAGCTTCCAAAAAGATCTTTGAACTCATTCATTCTGGATAAAGTCGAGCAATGTGAAGTATACACTACTGGTATGTCCTTAAAATATCGAAAAAGTCCTGGGTTCGACGGTACTAAAAGCGAGCATTTGAAAATTGTAGCCGAGGACATAACAGAACCACTCACTTACCTGATCAACAAATGCTTTGAATCTGACATATAACCTAAAATTTTAAAAAAGGTAATATAATACCGATACATAAATCAGGAAAAAAACAGATGTTAATAATTATAGACCAATATCAATCATATCCAGTGTAGCAAAAGATTTTGAAAAAGTTTTATCTACTAGAATGATTCGATACCTCACAAAATTCAAAATTTTAAGTGAAAATCAATATTGACACTGGACAACAAATTTTAGTTTTTTAATTGTATCTTGTGGGAAAAGTGCACTTATTTCTTAATTTTGGGGCGCTGAATCCAAAAATGACAATGAAATAAAAAAATTAGTTGCGGTTTAGAAAAAAACTTTTTATTTTTAAGGATATATTAAAAAAAGTAACAAGATTCATATACTTATAAGAATCACTATATGCGCTGTCTTTTTGCTGTTCTTTTATGGATCGTTTCTGGAGCATCTCTACCAAGAGTCCAACAGTAGTCTGCAAGCATGGAAGGATTCCACTGTCCCTGGTACCTTTTTTCCATTGTTGAAATATCCTGATGAAAACGTTCGCCGCGCTCATCACTTACGGCTCCGCAATTGTCAGGAAAAAAGTCCAGGTGTGAGTGTAGGAAATGTATCTTAAGAGACATATTACAACCCATCTTTTGATACGATGACAGCATATTTTTGACAAGGGTTTTATAGTTGTCAGCTTTTCTATTTCCCAAGAAATTAGTGACCAGCAGACGGAAATCATTCCAAGCAGTTTTTTCAATACCTGTTAAAGTGTTTTCAAACTGTGTATCTTTCAAAATATTTCGAATCTGTGGCCCAACAAAAATACCTTCTTTAACCTTTGCCTCACTTAGTCTTGGAAATTTCTGACGCAGGTATTGAAAAGCTGACCCATCTCTATCTAATGCCTTGACAAAGTTTTTCATTAGGCCCAACTTGATATGCAGTGGTGGTAATAATTTTTTTTTCAAATCTACTAATGACATATGCTGTACATTTTTTTGACCTGGCTCTAGGAATTGACGAACAGGCCAGTTTTGTATGGTGTAATGGTGCCTTTGCCCGACTGTCCCATTCACACAAAAAACAGCAAAACTTTGTGTAGCCTAGCTGCAGCCCAAGTAAAAGTGCAACAACTTTCAAATCGCCACAAATATGCCATTAGTGCTCATCGTATTTTAGGCATGTCAATAGGTACTTCATATTGTCATATGATTCTTTCATATGAACTGCATACTCTACAGGAAGAGATGGTAAAATATTTCCAATATGCAATAACACTGCCTTTAAACTCAATGTTGAACTGTCTATAAACAATCTCCATTCTTTTGGGTTATAGTTTATATTTAAAGCCGCCAGTAAGCCGTTAATGTTACTGCAGTAAACCAAGTTATTATCCATATTGAAAAATGGTCTTTGTGGCACATACCGAAACATGGTCTTCTAACAAGTTCCACTGCTGCAGTCTTGATCCAAGTAACTCTGCCTTATATTTTGGAAGTTCTAAATCTCTTACAAGATCATTTAATTCTGACTGTGTTATTTTGTGCGGTTGGTGGCATGACGTGCTCGGTATAAAATCAGGATCTCTTGACGTTGATGGCATATCTTCTTCCTGACGAATCACTCGATCGCCATGATCTGATTCGTTTTCTGATTCGCAAGTCTAGGATTCTGGGGGTTTTGGAATAGGATTTTCGTCTCTGTGAGGCACAGGTCTCAACGCAGATGATATGTTTGGGTAGTTAATAACCGATTTTTTTTTCTTGGACATACCTGTGGCTTGTCCAACACAAGGTACCATGCAAAAGTAACAATCATTAATATGATTTGTAGGCTCTCTCCAAACCATTGGGACAGCAAAGCGCATAGACCGTTTTTTGCCATTCAACCAGCTCCTCAGACTTGAAGCACATGTATAGTATTACAGCAAATGTGGGGTGCCCACTGTTTGTCTTGATCGCCTAGTTTACAATCGAAATAAAGCTGATATGCCTTTGTTATTAGTGGAGTAATAGACCGTTTCTGAGACGCAAAAGTCACATCACCACACACGTAACAAGACTGATCTGGATTGTTTACACACTTTCGAGACATCTTGCATGAACGCTGTCAGCCAACTGAGGAAAAAATGGCTAATATAAAACAATATAATGTACACGTATGTATAACGTAACACAATCATGCCGATTACATCATCTCTCCTGGCCGAATATAAAAATGTAGCACGTGCATTCTTGTGAATTACAGTATATTAACACTGTCACAGCAGGAACACATATAATTACCGTATCTCTAAAACTTGAACTAATAATATTTAGGATATTTTTTGGCTGTTGATCAGTGATTTACAGACGGGAAGGCTACATTGGACGCAATAGCTAAAATTGTACATCAAATACTGATAACAAAATCCCTGCAATCTGCAAAATCGGTTTTAGGTTAGGATATGTCGGAAAAGTTGAGAGATTTGTATCACGTGTTCACCAAAAAGCTCTTGGAAATTTTACTCTGGTTTCTAGGTAAGAGGTCTGCTCACTTTTGTCGGCCTGTGAAAATTGAAATCAGTCTAAACGGTAGAAATTCAGTGTTAGGGCTAACCGACTGATGTCTGATAGTTAAAGAGATCATAAGTCCCGTTTTGAGGGGGACCGTCCTGTTTTTGTTCTCCTTTCAGGTGTACCTAAAAATAACCTGAGGTCGCAAAGCTGTCCCGTTTTCTTGCGTTCGCGACTAATATAATATAAAAAATAAAATTAATTTATCACATCGTCATCAATAAGAGGACGAATTTTTTAAATGAAGTTATCGAAGTGTAACTTATTCCGCCCTTTGCTTGAGGCGTCAGATAAAGAACTTTTTTGTGGTGCTATAAATGAATAATTGTGCTCTCTCTGTCTCAATATTTGTCACTCGGCGCAGAATAATTCAATTTATTTCAGCTCCATCATGAAATTTTGAAGAAGTATGGAATTTGATCTTGGTATCGGATGAAACAGTCATACAGAGTGACTCATCCATGTGGGAATGGAGTATTACTCTTAACCTTTAACTACTCGCGCTGGTGTATATAGTACACCAAAATGGCGCCGAGGGCTGCCGAGTCCATGCGAATAGCTGTTCGTCCGCGCCGAGCCAGGTATATATGCCTCGCTCGATGTATCTTCCAGATGTAGCGCCAGTACGGTTCGGATCGCTAGAGGACGAGGTTAGATATTTCAAGAAGTTTGAGGTGGTGTACAAAATACACCAAGGCGAGCAGTTATGTAAGTAGATAGTGGAATGTATTTTTTTTAGGTTTTCCATGAAAACTTATTTGTAATGTAGTCTGTATATTTGTATATAATTAAACATCGATTATATGTTTTGAATTAATTGATTTATTCATTCAAGGAATCGAGTTAAGGTGAAAAATCCTCAAAAATTGACCCAAGATGAATTAGCGGCTATAGCCCAAGTTATATGTGATACGGATACCGAGGAAGAAGTTGGAGGAGAAGGAGATTCTGATGGAAGTGAACAAGTAGAGGAAGAAGCACACAATTCGGATTCAGAACAAGAAATAAGCGAACTAGAAGAAGTGGATGTTGATCAAAGTAGTTCTGATTCTGAAGATATCCTGCTCTCGGTGTTAGCGGCCAATAAACAAGATAAGTATATTGGCAAAGACAAAAAGACTATTTGGTATAAAAATTATCCCATGAGTAAATCCAGCAAGTCCAAAATAAAAAACATTATAAAAATACTACCAGGGCCAAAGCAATGCGCACGTGACATAACCGATGAGACAAGTGCGTTTTCGAAAATTTTTGATGATGAAATGATTGAACATATTATTCACTGTACTAATTTAGAAATTTCAAGAGTTAGGGAAAACTATGATCGAGAACGAGACGCAAAGGACGTTACAAAAACGGAAATGCTGGCTTTTATAGGCTTACTGTTTTTATCTGGATCTAAAAAGCAAAACCACACCCATTTTTTGGAATTATGGACAAAAGACGGTACCGGATCAGAAATATTTCGAGCTTGCATGAGTTATCAAAGGTTTCTTTTTCTGCTGGCAAATATTCGATTTGATGACAAAACAACAAGGCATGAACGCAAGAAAATAGATAAATTGGCCGCAGTGCGGTACGTTTTAGATAAATTTGTAAGTAATTGCAAAAAAAACTACTCTATGGGCGAATTTATGACAATAGACGAAATGTTGATTGCGTTCCGAGGACGATGCAGCTTTGTCCAGTACATACCAAACAAACCTGCGAAATATGGTTTGAAGGCATTTGTGCTCTGTGATGCTAGAACATTTTATGTGAGTAATTTGGAGCTGTACTGTGGAAAACAACCAGATGGTCAATATAGCCAATCTAATACACCAACTGCCATCGTTCACCGTTTGCTAGCAGAACAAAAAGGAAGCAATAGAAATCTAACCTCCGATAATTGGTATTCAAGTTACCCTTTGGCAGTGGAACTTCTTCAAGACAAAATAACTTTCATCGGAACCCTGAAGAAGAATAAGCGAGAGCTGCCGATAGAGTTCTTGCCAAATAAAAATAGGTTGGTTGGGTCATCACTTTTTGGATTCCAAAAGGATGTAACGATAGTTTCACATGTCCAAAAAAAAAATAAATGCGTGGTTTTGATTTCAACTATGCACGACGACTCCACTATTGATCCATATACCAACAAACCTGAAATAATTCTAGATTATAATATGACCAAAGGGGGTGTGGACACAGTGGACAAAATGTGCAATACTTATTCTGTTGGAAGAAGAACAAAAAGGTGGCCATTGGCTTTCTTCTTTCAGTTGCTAAATATAGCAGGCATCAATAGCCAAATTTTGTATAACGGCACTCACCCTGAATCTCCTCACAAGTCCAGAAGAATTTTCCTGAAAACTCTTGCTCTGTCATTGATGAAACCTTTTCTTTCTGAAAGAGCTGCAATACCTACGTTACCTATAGATATCAGACATTTCCTATCCAGATATAGACAAACTCAAATGGATGAAGAAGAGGAGCCACCCAGAAAAATTAGAGGAAGATGCTCCATCTGCGCCCGAAAAAAAAATAGAGTTACCACAATTACATGCAGCATTTGTCACCAGTTAGTGTGTAAAGAGCATAGTGTCAACGTTATCACCTGCCACAAATGTAAGGAAGGCGGATCCCATAGTGAATAGAGAATTAGAAGGGCTCGGTGCAAAAACCAGTCAACTCCATTTTTGATAATTTGTGGAAAATCAATAAAAACTTTCCAATATTGTTATTTGTACAAATTTTCTGTCGAAAAAAAATACCAAGTAAGTACTGCTATTGGAGAATAATATAATATCAAACTGATAACATTAATCTTTTTTGACACTTCAGAAAAAAAAAATTGAACTCGTGGAGTTGACTGTTTTTTGCACCGAACCTCCAAATATACACAAATAAAGCAACATTATTGCGTTCAGTATTTATTCATTATAAAAAAAACATAACTTCACGTTTTAGCTCAAAGCAACTCTAAAAAAACAAGAAACACAATAGAGATCACAGAAAAAATAACAAATGATGTGGTTAAAATAAGAACATTTCAGCAAAGAAAACTGATCAACATAATATAAAGAAACTAGAAATCTTCAGTTTCAACTTCGCCACTATCGCTGTCAAGTTCTTCTTCTCGTTGTTGTTCATCTTGATTTGTGACCCGTATTTGCTCGTAGTACCACTTATATATTGGTGGTACGTAGTGATCTGCCAAAGGCATCACATTTGCTATTTTTTTGGGGTTTATTTTAAGTGGAAATGTGTTGTACAGTTTAGTATTTGGCCAAATTAAAACTGCGTTAGGTTTTTTGATGACAAATGATGAATATAAAGTTAGACCTGCTGTAGCACTACACTGTATTATGTTTTTTCTTTCATATTTGAAAAGACGATACTTTGAGATGGTAAATCTTTCTTTTTGTTGGTTACTTATGGCTTTTTTAAAAATAGGTTTAAAAGTATTCGAAAAATCGAGGATCATATCCTGGGTAACGTCTATTACGCGAAACTGTTTAGATGTATTCTTGACTAATTTTTTCCATTCAGAAGGTAAGTATACTATTTCTTTTTTTCGTTTTTCTTTTTCAATTAAACCAAAGCAACGGTCGCACGGCAGAAAGCTGTGACCGGGTTCTGGAAACTGATGTATAATTTGCTGAATATTACTATTGAAAGCATTGATAAATGTGTGAAAGTACTGCACTATGGTTTGATTTTTGTTTTGGGCAAAACAGTTGTCCGAAAATAAATAGAGGGCTGTAACAGTTTCCGGGACAAAGTTTGTTAAATAGTGATGTAAACAACTGACTACTTCGTTACAACCTTTTTTGGCAGTGAGCTCATCGTACATATAAAAAGTAGCCTCTCTTTTCTTGGCAGAATGTACACAAAAGTTGTATTGCCATAGCTGCCTTTTATAGAACACATCGCCCGACGGAATATGCGGCAGTGGCAGGTTTTGTTGGTAATCAAAGCATAACACATCAACTGATTCATCTTCGCGAGCAAGATTTGTATATTCTCGTAATTTGGTATAAAATATTTCGGCCTTCTGTAAGTGTAGACGCTTTTCAGTTTCCAAGCGGGTTTTATTTTCTGCATTTGCTTCTGCGGAAATTGTGTTGTGCAGGCGGTCACATTTCTGGCAGGTATCTGATCTTGGATGTCCAAAACTAAGGTTATGATTGAGATTAAATTGCCGATGATAAAAATCATATGTTACTACTGGTTTAATGTCCTTCAAAATTTTCCCATCGTCTAGGAGAGCATACTTTTCTGGCTCATATTTTTGAAGGTAGAGGCGATGCATTGTTGCAATATTCACCTCAGGAGATAAAAAATACCTTTTCTGATTATCCTCCCTACTATAATGAGATTTTCTTCTGGGAAAACTCCGAATATGTTCTTCTATTTGCGCTATTATTTCTTCACTGATTTTGTTCGGCCTATTGGAATGCTTCCCACGCTTATCGGAAGGTGACATAATACTACCCAGCGTCAGATTTTTGGCAATCTGAGACACTCTATTTTTTGATACTCCATGCAAAGAACAGAATGCTTTTTTGCATACTATGGTTTCCTGGCTTCCTGCCCGTAACTGAAAAAAAAGACATTTTAGAACCAATTATTATATTTTGCAACAAAAACATTACCTTATACTGATAGGTGTTGCTTTTTTCTCTACCCTCTCCTGTAGTCGGGCGTTTCCTCTTCACATTTGACACACTGATTAATCCCCCTAGGTAAATGTCTTGTTTAGTTTTATCTCCCGTCCTATAAAACTGCTCAAGTATGTTCTGTCGTTGGGTATCGTCTATTTTAGTGAAACATCTTTTTCTACAATGGCAATTTGGTCCAGTAGTTTTCTTTTGAATTAGTTTATTTGCCGAATTAATATATTCTTCCACTCTAGCCTGCTTACTCTTCATAATGTTTCGTTTCCATTTTTGCTTTCCATCCTCACCCGTTTCTTGCCTTTTTTCTTAACGGTTTGAATGTTTGGAATTTCTGTATTATTACTCACAGACGTTTTTTGCTGCTCATTACTTTTATGGGTACCTTTTTTAGCACTAACAAAATGCTTTGATCGCCGTCGACTAGGACCCGGAACATCAGAATCGGTGGAATCCGATAACACGTAGTCAGTCCCAGAATCTACATATGGGTCTTCCTCACTAAACTCGCTACTTGAACTGATACTCATAATGCAACGATCTTTTTTACACCTTATTCGTTCACGAGACACAATGCAATGTTGAAAACCAACTGAAATGCTACCGGCTTGCCATCGCACGTGGCCTGATTTTCCGATGTTGCCGATGTTACCATTGCTGGCAAGAAACGGTCATCTCCTGGAGTTGGCCGATTCTTGCACCTAAGTATTGATGCAGTCAACTCCTTGGCCCAAGTATTTACCATAATATTTGTTGGAGATGGCTGATTCTTGCACCAAAAGATGTACAAACATTTGTTCTATACGATGCATATATAAACTGAATTTGGGTAAAAGATGGAGTTGACTGGTTTTTGCACCGAACCCTTCATTATTAATTATGGTTGTTTTTTTCAATTTATTTTTACTGTCTTATTTGATTTTGTTTACTATTTTTGCTAATAAATATGTATTTGAGTTCAACAGTTGCACTTATTACCACAGCTATAACTTATAGGGCAAACAAAACATATATTTGGATCATAACTTGCAACGGTGTACAAAATACACCGCGCGAGTAGTAACGTGAAATAAAAATGCGCGAGTAGTTAAAGGTTAAACACATATAGATATTTTGAAAATAAAGATTTATTCATAATATCAGGGGGTACACGTATGTACCCACAAATATAGAGTTTCCCACTTCTGTCTTACAAATCAAAACTGTAATTTTTTAAATAAAATGCCACAAATTTGCAAACGAAGAAGATTTATACAACATACCATGGGATTTTGGTGAATGTTTTATCTAGGAAAACTCCCAACTTCGACAACTCACTAACTTGCCATTTTGATTCAGCGCTGATTTTGTTACACAAAAGAACATAAAGCTTCAAAGTTGTCCACTATTTTTCAGAATTATCGTTTTTTACAGGGTATCCAAAAACGCATATTGTACTTTTTTCGAAAAGTTCAAATGCTGTTTCAATGTGCCTCGACATAACTTTTTTTTGTTATTAAGAACTCAAATGTTTTACGACTACCTATCAGTTACGCACAAATTTTTTTATCAAATGGCGTAATGCACTAAAATATCGCATCATACATGGAAACAAAGAAATTTTTGATTCTTAAACAACGGTGCTAATACGAGCCCCTTCCCACTTCAGTTGGCCCAAATATAGAAATCTTAGTTTTTTTCTTATCAAACAAATAATAAAGATGTAGCAGGGTGTTATAGGTTTAAAATATTGACAATGAATATTTTGATAATATATAGTAGAAAACACCAACATTATCACTCCCTAATCAAATTTCCAGCATAAAAATAACACATGTTGCAATTACAGCATATCAACCTATTTTCATTTCAATGCAAAATAAGTCTATAACGCATAGGTGGCTATGAAAAATAAAAGCCAGGACAATTGTTTTTATTAATCACAGCTGTCAGAATACGTTTAAAATAGTTTTGGGTAGTTAAGGTTTTCAAAATGGATGGAGGAAAGGTTATTAGTGAGAAAATTCGGTTACTGATAATTAAATTTTTTAATTCTGGGAAATCAAACTCAGAAATCGCAACTTATCGCCGTACAGTGTGAGAAATATTGTTAGAACATATAACTTAACTGGTTCAGTTAATATTAAGCCACGATATGTGAAAAAAAGTAATATCACAAATGCCGACCGAAGAGCATTAAGAAGAATAATCGCGAAAAACAGGAATGCCAATTATTTACAATTAAGTGCTCTGTAGAGTGACGCTGTTGGAAGGGGAATTTCGAGGTCCACAACTCATTAAGAGGCCACAAACTGGGATTTAGCACTTGCACGGTAAGTTTTCTTAAAATTGCACAACTTTTTATGGGCCAAAGCAAAGCCACTATTAACTTCACTGCAAATGAAAAATCGGCTTAGATGGGCTAAAAAACATAGACAATGGACACCTCAACAATGGTGTGCAATACAATGGAGTGATGAGGCCCGATTCGAAGTTGGTGTTGGTGACAGTCGCAGTAGAGTTGTTCGCAAAAAAATTAAGCATTCCATGTTGACTGTCTGAAGAGAAAAGTGAAATTTCCAGCATCCATTATGGTCTGGGGCAGTACGTCATCCAAAGGAGTAGGAAAGCTTCATTTTATTGATGGAAATGTGGATACAAACAAATATTTGGCAATTTTAGAAGAATCGCTTTTACCAGTGATGGAAGAGTGTTTTACAACCGGCCAAGATTTTGTGTTTCAACAAGATGGTGCAGCGTGCCAGACCTCAAAAAAGGCTATAAAATGGATGGAAGAAAATAATGTACCACTTTTGAAATGCGTTTCTAGCAGTCCAGATCTGTCACCTATTGAAACTTTGTGACACGAGGTGAAAAAGGTTCTACGACAACATCCTGCTCGTACAATCACCGAACTGAGACAAAAGCATCAAGAAATATGGGATTGTTTTACACCAAATTTTTGCCAGAGCTTGGTTAACACTATGCCCCAAAGAGTTTCAGCCGTAATAAAAATAAAGGTGATGTTACCAATGGTAATCTTTCAATTGTTGCTTTGTTAACTTCGCGCATTTATTGGCACATTGCTTATTTGTTCAGATGTTCTATTAGTTATAGGTCTAAGTGATTTCGAATATGTATTTTTTACGTCTAGAGTGTAACTAAAATGTTTTTGAGAAAATAAATTGTTTTAGAAGTAAATAGTTTCGTCAGGTTTAGTTTATAAAGGCATATTTTGGTACAAATCTTAAAGTGGGCCAACTGAAGTGGGGAGGGGCTCGTATTTCAAGGCACAATAGGCACAAATGCGACAGAAATATAAAATGAAAAGTTCTTGACGCATAACGCTTATGAATATCATTCTACAGGTGTAGACGATGATTCAAATAGCAGTACACAGTTTTAAATCAGACAATATAGGTATATACAGAATGTTACAAAGATTTGGAACTCATCGAATATCTGACGAATGACTCGTCTAATTTTTTTTAAATGGTAGATTTAGGTTCGAAACCACGGCGGATCCGTTGCTGATATCCGCGATGCTGCCAAATCTGCAGTTTTTCAGAAACTGATAGCATCTTTTGTTTTTCTTGCAGAATGCTATACATATTATTCGATATTTGTATTCTCCTAGAAATTCTGAATACTCTTTATCAAGCATACTTTGACGTAAACCTCATAGTTTTCGAGATATTCATAAATATGTTTAAACGACAAAAGGTGTTTTTTCACCTAAGCAATGACATTCAAAAGTCCATTAAGTTTTATTAGTAGAGTTATTGAGAATGACTCATAAAACTAAAACCGAGAGAGTGAAAATTTTAATGATTTTAATCAGTATTAGAATTGAATTGAATTGAATAGAAATTCTAATGATTTTAATCTGTATTAGAATTTCTATCTTCTTGGTTTTTGTTAAATACATCATATTTTTAGTAACTCTACTAACAAAAATCAATGGGCTTTTCAATATCAGAAATGACAGGATATTATTTCCCATGCCACTCATTGCTTACCTTATTGTTAATAATACCTTTTATTGTTACTATTTCGAAGACTATATTTTGTTATAAATTTGGTGTACTCTCTTCTTTATGCTGGCAAGGACAAACGTTTACTCTGGTAAAGAATCTCTCTCACCTACTCCAAGTCAGTAGGTCTGTTATTGGGGAGTGACAACAATACTGCACGATCTGTCAAACTTTTACGGGCAGTCTTTTTGTATTCGGAGTATTGGCATCATTCCAGATCACTCGTTTTTATTATACCAATTCTTTCATAATATGACCCTGATGGTTATATTCAACAGTTATAACGATAAAGTCAATCTTTCTGTCAGTTTCAATTTCTGTTATGTCGTCTGGGATATCCATTGTTGAATTCTCTAAGAATAGTTTAGAAGTGATTTTTGTGTATGTAGATAGACAATATTCTACATATACCTTATAAAAGATTGGAAAAATCTTCGACAACAGTAATTTCCAGTTCTTCCAAAACCAAGCTTGCAATTGTAGAGGAAATAGGTGATCCCGTTACAGTGCCAAAAACCTGTGAGAAGTAGTTATTTTCATATTTGAAGTATGTTGTCTCTAAGCAAAACTCTACACCAATCTTCAAGAGGAAGTAAAGTGGAATTCTTCAAGTCATCTCAACAATTTTCAATGCATTCTATGGCAAAATCAATGACGTCTTAACCATATAGACCCTGCAAGTCATTCATAAGTCAGCCGTTTGTTGTGTTCGCGAACCTCAGTGGCGGGAAATACGAACGTTCATTCATATTTTTATCAAATTGGCCCCAAGCTTCAAACAGCACAACGCTCAAGGTCAACTACGTAATTCCCACCATAGGCGTATCACAATGTAGTCCATGAAGGGCTATAAAAGCCAATAAATTTCTCAGTATATTGGAGGTACAAAAAACGTCTTTCTTGTGGGTATACTGTTATTCAGGTGACCATACGCCCACTTTCGGACTCTGTCCTACTATTCCTGACGAAAGCCTAGCGTCTCGGTCGTGGTGTCTCCAACAAAAAGCATGCAACTCCCCTCCCCTCCCAGTGCTCTTCATACTTCTTATCATCGGCCATCAATGCAAAAAATGAAGCGTGTTTACACATTGTGCTTTCATTTTAAGATTGTAAACAAAAATAGCAAAACGTGAGCCTTTTGTGGTAGGTACGAGACCCCAATATAGAAGGAATAAAACACAGTAAATACCTACTTAAAAAAATGTTTATTTGATGGTTTAAAAAATATTTTATATGGAGATCAATCAATGCAAAATAAAATTTTCTTGACAATCTTAATAGGAAATGTGTCAACAAAACATATACCTAACAATTGTAAGTATGGGATATCACATCAGCACAAGTTATGTTAACAATAAGCAGTTGACAATGAACAATGTTCGGATTTGAAAATGTGCAAGATATGACAACATAGCAATTATTTATATGAACTAGCCAAAACCCGCGGCATCGCTCGCATGGAATTAGTGTAAAGTATAATGATGCAATAGTTACTGTGTCGCTGGACCTTTTCATTCAACATATCAATTAAATAATAAATTAATTTCAAATGTGTAATCATAATAAATAATTCGTGAAGTATCTCACAGCCCAAGTGGCCTATCTAACATAACTATGCGTCCCGAATTGAGTGGTGCTTTGAGCATATTCTAACCACTTTTTGGGATTGAGGTTCTAGCTCGATAAGTTCCAAGTGAGACATCCATTTCTCTCTCTGCTATTCATTTGCAGGTAGTCTGGAATGAAAATTAGAAGTCCAAGTAAGATGCATTGTACGAACATTTGTGATAAACGATATATTTATACAAGCTCTTAGGTGATTTATGGACACTTATGAAAAACAGTGTTTTTTTCCTTAGGTTTATGATTGTTATGAAAATCTTTCTAAACACTGTTTCACATATAAAAAAAATATAAAATACGGATTCGATCGGGAAAATGACGCACTCCACGCCAATGAGTAGAATCGTTAACATAACCTTACCTGTTAAAAGATATCCCTTCACTTCGTGTTTTTCCAGCCACAACCTTACACAGAAACACTTTTGTCTTACCATAATTTAATAAAAGTCTAAAGAACATTTATGAAACGGTTTACTGCTCGGTCAGGGGTGCAGTCTCTATTAATCAGCATGGGTTTATGAGAGGCAGATCTACGATCACTCTAATTACTCAGTACATTTCTGAAGTACTGGACGGTCAGGGACAAGTTGATGTCATCTACACAGATATTCAGAAGGCGTTTGATCAAGTTGATCATTATGCACTTCTGAATAAGCTTAAAACAGTGGGTATGTCTGATTCAATGTTGTCGCTCATGAATTCATATTTGAGGGATAGAAGGTTATTTGTCGAATATGGTGGTCATAATGTCGAGTTACTATCGGGCCACGTCCGGGGTACCTCAAGGGTCAAATCTAGGTCCATTATTGTTTTTGATATTTATTAATGACTTGTCTTTTGAACTGAAGTGTTTCCATTTATTTTTCGCTGATGACCTTAAAATCTGCACGTCAGTCAAGACGGTCGAGGATTGCGTCATGTTGCAAGATGACTTTGCTCTAACTTCGTCATGGTGTTCACGAAACAGTCTGAATGTTTCGAAATGTAAAGTTATGACTTATACAAGAAAGGTTAACTATTTAATTTATGATAATTATAACATCAATGGTCAGGTTATAGACAGATGCACCTTGGAGTCACTTTTGATACCAAGCTAACGTTTACTGAGCATATACTCAATATCTCGTCAGCTGCCACTCGCCTACTTGGTTTCTGTATCAGAAACTGGAAGGGTTTCTCCAATGTTGATACATTATTGACTTTATTTTTTACTTTTGTCAGGAGCAAGTTGGAGTATGCGACTCTGATCTGGTCTCCTATATACCAAAATTCTGTCGTGATCCTCGAGACCATTCAACGTAAAGCTTTAAAGTATTTTCACCTTAAATGCACAGGTCCTTATCCGGAAAGAGGTTGTGACCATAGTGCCCTATTAGAGTTTTTCAATTTGGATTCACTGTCAACAAGACGAAACATATTTGCTTTGTCGTTTTTGTATGGCCTCATTCACAATAAAATTGACTGTCAAAATTTACTTGAAAAAATATGTTTCCGCGTTCCAAGGCTAGGGAGTTGATAACAAACGGCATTCTGTTATCAAGCTGGCCGTACAAATGTTATGACAAAATCGCCAATTAATCTCATGTGCTGCGTCATGAACAGTGTTACTGAATCGTGTGATATTTACAGTGACAGTTGTGCATCGATTATTAACTGCTACAGATCATCGAATCTTATTTAGAATGTGTGATACTATAGATTTAAGTCCAAGAACCATGTCTCTTTAATTGTTATTTTTTTCACCTGTTGGAAATAAATAAATAAATAAATAAGAACATAAGAAAATCAAGCGTATAGTACACGGTTAAAAGGGATTTTCACACAAAATAAGAATGGCAGCGAAAACAGGGAACACGCACAGATTCACAGGCGACGACTCACTCTTACTACAAGGCTACTACAACCAAATGCAGTGTTGCCGTATATAAACGTTAATCACAGATATGCAGAAAATACTCTGGTTTGTATTATACATCGACTTGTATTAAAATTCGCGTATTTTTCACTTTTTCTATAAATTGTAGGTATATAAGAATATACATACATTTCTTCTAGAAGAACCTTTCTGCAACAGAAATAAACGACCGTGGGGCCAACTTTATTTGGCGACATCGCAAAAAAGAGTAATTGTTGTAGGGGAAGACCTTTTGTAAACATTCCAGGTCTATTTGGGTAAGACGTCATTGGGAAAAATCAACGGCTGAACTAGTAAATAGAGATACGGCATCAAATGACACAAGTAGATGGTTTAGGTACTAAATGAGTCTTTATAATGCTGTGAAGGATGTTTTACTCAATCTAAAAAGATAATATTCTTGTATATATTCTTTACCTGTGCTTTATTTTCATTTTTAATAGCTATTATTGCCACGCTCTTTTTTTTAAACAATTAAAATCACTTTTTAATTTTCAGCTTAAGTTATTTCTCTCAATTGAGACAATGGATGATTAAAAAAAAACTAGGGGGTTACTGAGGCTAAAGCCGTGGTTTAGCGTTGGCAAATTAGGCCCTATGCTCAGGTACACCGGAGAGTAGGGGGGGTATTTTTTTTAGGGGTGCCACCAGCTTTTATACGCCAAAACTGGAAGACGCCTTGGTGTTGAAAGGCACTATTTAGCCCAGAACCGCAAGAAACAAAAACAAAAATACATACAAACAATAGATTTTCTATGTGGGTAAATAATTGCTAAAATTAACATCAATACATTTTATTACATCTACTAACGGCTAACAACAAAAATTTAAGCCAGCCAAACTAGGAGATCTCCCTTAATGCGAAAGCTTATTGACTAACTAATTTAAAATGGGCGAGGAAGGCTTCAAAACCGATGACGTAAGAATCCCTATGGTGGAAAAAGGGTCTCTGTTCAGAAAGAGGTCTCCGGTAGAAAACGTGTCGATGGATCTCCAGTAGCGAAGATTCCCCCAAGATAAAAAAAAAACCCTAGGAAGAAAAATAGTATTCAGGCGATCGAATGTAACGGTATAAAAAAATACAAATTTAGTTAACAGCAATTAACGTAATTGGAAAAGTAATATTCAAAATATGATTTTTGACCACCCGGTATAACAGATTTAAAATTACACTTTGAGTTATTCGGAAAATATCATAAAACCAACGCATGCTCCACAGAATACTAAGTTAACTCCATTTTAGAACAAGAATAATTATTTACTTTTGAGAAAACTCATATAGTATATGAGAAATATGGCCTTTTGCCTAAATTTTCATTTACTTAAAATAAAATAATGCTCACCTAGATGATGTCGGGTAGGGCTTTTCACGTGGTTCCGTCTGGCGGAAAGTGCGGCTGAAGACAATAAGATCCTACAAATTGTAGAATTTCTCGGGTCCAAGGGTAGACAAAAAAAAAGATGCTACGCACTCACAACAGGAATGACCCAGGAAATGATCTATAAAATTTTCTTCCACAATCCGATGAAGATGCCCCAGGCAAAAAAAGGAGGAAAATTTCAGGTCTTCTCGCACTAGCAGAACAGAATAAGATGGCCCTCTGATAGTGGAAGGAAGTCCCCTCCCAAATCTTTTTGACTTGACATTTCCAAATATAGTTGTACGCCTGACCATTAAGAGCCAAACGTTGTCGGCTAATCCCAAATTGAGAAGGTCCCTAATATAAGTTCAAGGAAATATCGTGAATAAATGTGGCAACACTGTCATATCTGCATATAAATTTGATTGATTCATAAACATAAGGAAATTCTGAAATAAAATTGGCAACTATGCGGAACAAGCGAGGTGTGCAAGTGGTTCGGTACGCAGAATAGTACCTCGACATCAGCGACGTCAGCCTTTGACATTAGAAGATTTCAGAAAACAATAATAAATTCATCTGACTATAAAAGAAATAGATAGTCCAATAGGTGATTAATAATATTTATGCAACACAAATAGTTTTTAATTCAGAAGGTGATATCAATTTATAGATGTACATTTATTTATTTTCAGCTCCGGAGTGACAAACCGGATTGCTGTTGGGATGTAAACAAATCCCCGAGGCGGAAATTTCGAGATTGAATTGATTTCTTGACGGTGGAAGATCTAGCATGGGATGGAAGCAACCGAGCTATTTATGAAAATATGTGGAGGTGAATACTAAAATTATTACTCATGGTGAACCAGGGAAATTACTAGGCAACACAAGAAGAAATTGTCCATATCAGGGTGAGTAAATTCTTCAATTAATTACCTGAATGCATGGAAAATTGACTACACATTTATAAACTTAGTGGTAGAAACTATAAAGATGATCAAAATGGAGTGCGATTGCTGTACGTTAAATTTAATAATTGAAATTTTTGGATTATAAAATAGATTGAGAAATATTTGGTTTCAGTTCCCAAATTGTTCAGTGACATGGAAGATGCTGACTACTATATACAGGCAGCCAAACGACTACAGAAGAAAAACAACGGATACAAATTAGAAATTATAGTTATTCCGTGGTATTCATGTGTTATGTTGTATTTCAAATAAACATGATAATAGGTAAATGTCTGCATGTTATTTATTTTGGTTATGAATTACGTGAGAAAAATATAGCTAAATACCCCGTTAAAAACAAGCCCTATCTTGGGAAATGGCCAATGGGCCGGTCTAGTCATTTTTGTCAATAAAATTGATTTAATAATATGCTATGAATAAAAATAATATGCTGCGGAGATTATTAGATTAGATTATCGGCTTTTGTTTCTTCCTTCTCAAGTTCTTGCTGCATTACTTCAAATTAAACCTGTGGACAACAACAACAACAAAAAATATATGATTCATCGTCAACAAAAGGCAACTGTTACATTATTATCGCCAGTCATCAAACACCAACCACCAACATCTATATGACAGAAATTTAATTATTTTTGCCAACTAGTAAGTCTTTCTGTATATTAGTTTTACATTTTTTTAACGTGTTTTGTTTAGTCCTAGAGATTCACATGTACCTGAAGACTGCGTTTGTCAACTAAAGTAAGTACCTGTTTTTTATACTTCTTTGTTCGATATTCATTTTTGAGTTCTTGTGAACGTGTGAGGGAGATGAAGGTAGAAATTACTTCCTGTAGTTCTACTTTGCGCTGGCAAAAACCGTGAAAAGCCCTTTACAATATTTCCCGTGTAATGTCCTAGTAGGTAAAAATGCCTGAAGTATGAGAAGAGATTTCGGCATTTAATGTTTGTAATTTATTGCGCCATTAAGAAAGCCATTGAGAACCCTGACGACAAATTCCCCCGAAAGTTTACCAAAAAAGTATAACTCCTCTAACAAACGAGCAAGGTTCTTTTTGTTTTGTTTTCACTCCACCATGAGTGATATCCGTATCCCCCTCCTAAACAGTGAACATTCCAATGCATTTTTCGTGTATTCTATAGACGCGGAAGGAAATAAATAATTCATATAGGCGCTCGAAACACGAGCGCCACCTTCCTTCGATAGCTTATTTTATGCATTTATTGCTACCGACTGCTGTGAAATTGGAAAACTAAATCACATTTTCGTATATCAGCCGTTGGCGCCTGGGCGCCCGCGTGTTTTCTTATTTGCCGCCGCGGACGTTTTGATATATGATCCAGTAGGCTCAGGAAGGTAACAAAGCTCGGAATGAAACATCAATTTGGTAAGCAGAAATTAATGTTACAAATATGGATGAAATGGTAGAGAATATCGATAGGCTCGTTGGAAGACCTATGTCCCAGTTAGAAATAATAAACTTTGTGAATACAGTAGACCTCCGGTAATCCGACAAACATTTTATGCAGGGCAGTGTCGGACTATCGAATTTGTCGGATTATAGAGCACTGCCTAAGATCCTCGGAATTTTTTACAAAAGAGTACCTTGTAATCCGACAAATTACATATAAAATAGTAAGATTATATATGTTATGTATATGTATGTACTTTGAAGTACAAATCATACATAATTTATGTATGTCGAATTTAGTAAATTAAATAACAATTGAGAGCTTACGCTATATTATAAAATTAAGCATAAATGCACATACATATGCACCAAAATCATCAAGAATTATTAATCAAAATCGTTGGCACCAGATTTCCAAATCTTCCGGACTTATCTGTGTTTCAGTAGCGACTTGTTCTATAACTTTCGAAGTAGCACTGATTTGTGGAACGTTGCTAGGAGTGGTGACTATATCTGGCCATAACTTTTTCCAAGGCGATTTAATAGTTGATGACGGTAACGCATTCGACGACTGACAAAGAGCAAAAACCAAGTCTTTCATATTAAATTCTTTTAAAGTTTTTTCTATTGGTTGGTCTTTTGATACGGCTCTCAGACGTAGGTTTTTCTTATAGTCTTGCTTGACATCCTGAATGATATTCTGGTCCATTGGTTGAATCAGTGCAGTGCAATTTGGCGGAAGAAACATCGCAGTGATGCGTTTATCCTCAGTTGTTAGTTCTTCTTCAGACGGATGACCGGGAGAGCTATCAAGAAGCAACAACGCTTTTTGAGGAAAATTATGATCTTTTAACTATTTTCAAACTTCAGTTACGCAGCATTCATCAAACCACTTTTTGGAAAGGTCTTTTGTCATCCATGCACTTTTTTGTCCGTAATAGTGTACAAGTAAATCAATGTTTTTGAATGGTTTATTAGATTTCCCAATGATCATCATCTTAAGCGCGTGTGTGCCCGCAGCGTTAGCACATGGTAGTAGAGGCTCTTTACTTACTTTTCGTCCAGGTACCGATTTTTCGTTACAAGAAACGAAAGTTTTGTTAGGCATCACACGGCAAAAAAGCCCTGATTCGTCTGCATTTTACGCATGTGACGGGTCAAGATTTAAATAGTTCACCTTTTGAAAAAATCTTAATTTAAAGGGCTCTATGTAGGTGGCATCGTTAGAAAGCTTCTCTTCTGAAAAAGTGATTAAACGTATGCCATGACGACTTTTGAAACGTTCTAGCCATCCTTTGCTGGCCACAAAATCATCTTTTTTGTTATTGCCTTATAAAAAAATTTGCTTTCATGGCCAACATGGGTCCTGAAATTGGTGCATGCCTATTTCTTTCCTGAAGAAACTACATGTACAAAGCTTCTTCCACTTCTGGATATTCAGCTTTCTTGAGTGTCTGTCCCTTGCCTGGTACGCAGTCAGTAGTTGACACGAACTTCTTGATCTTCTCGTGGTTTCTTTTAATGTCATAAATTGTAGATCGGCCTACGCCGCCACTTGCTAAACTACTGATAGTTTCGTTGCGGTTTAAGCGGTCTTAAATATCACATTTTTCTTTAAATGTCAATGTTTTGTGCTTTCGCTTCTGAGTTTGTGCAGACATTACTAGGAACTATACTAAATACACAATGAATAATTAGTAAACAATGAACGCACGCTAGGCCGTACCGCTATCACAAGTAGTCAAATTCAAACTAACTAAAACAATGCTTACGCGTCGAGCACGATACCGGTGGCGCGTACAAGTTGTAACCTGTTCAAACCTGCGTGATCTACATTAGCGAAGATTGTCAAATACGTATGTATGTAATACATATTCAAAGACATGTCGGATTACAGGGGGCGCCGGATTAGACAAGGGCCGGATTATCGGGGGTCCACTGTAGTTTCAGGCTTCTTAAGCCAAGTAAAAGCTGGAATAATAATGTTATGAAAACACAATTTTACTGTTTAATGTCTAATGTATTACTGCTATACTAATTTATTACATTTGCAAGTAATTTAAGACAAATTTATATCTAAGTCGACTGGACTATTACTTGATGATAATTGCGCATTCACTGTCCACTCGCTTGACTGTGTCTAACTGCTTCCGCCATCTAGTCGGGTATTTATGCACCTATCGACCCGTCGAGAGACGTTCCAGCGTTTTCGGAAACTTCTAATGTAGTCGTCTAGATGACAGAAATACTATCCAATAATCGCGATTGTCTTGCGAACGGTCCAGAATACAAGCACGCTCCATAGATGGTTACGTAACTGTGATTGCATAGACTCTGTCAAGCCGTCCCAGCGCCGCTCAATGTCCCAGCTATACAAGGGAAAATATGCGGAAACATTTTTGGGAAACGACCAAAGCAGTGCCACTGCAATATTTTTATATTATCTAACAATGAATTTAATTGATAAACGGTGAATAAAGGCAATTAAAAACAGAATGTACCTTGGTCCACACATCATGCAGGCAGCAGCGGTGGCCGCAATAGTAGACTCTTCGGTTTCCTGATCAGTCGCCGTGCGCTGTGCGGGCTCGAGTCCCGTCCCAGGAGAAATTTTTCTCTTGGTTATGGATGTTGTGATTGTCCGTACGTGGTAGACGGTCTCTGACTGTCGAACGAACGTGGAGGTACCACCCGGCGGATCTCGTAGGCGGAGCCAGAATGTGTGCATGTTGCATGCACACGTGTTCCCTCGCCAGAGTTCGTGCGGCGTCCCCCCTTTCCCCTGTGTCCCCCTATAGCCCCACGGTACGAAATGGGTGTTTAGGCCTTAGGCATTCGTGGTAGTTGGAGTATAAACAAAAAAAATCAGATCAGTAACGTCACTTCTGCATATGACAAAGCGTTTCATGCGTTTTGCGGTCGCACCTTACCGCGCGTTAGCAGCGCTGCTAAACTTGCATTCAGAGTGAGTTTTCAGTGTGTGATCGGTCGATAACACAGCTATTAAAAAAGTATCTAAAACAGATAATTGCAGAAAACAACTACAGGCACTTTACTTGGAAAATATTCGTAAGTATGTGGCAACATAAACGTACGTCGTTTGAATAGGTTACCCTGCGTGATTGGATGAATTTTGACAGATACTTGTACACTTGTAGACACGATCATAATACTTGCATTTGTTTTCGAGAAAATTAGAAAAATCTTTATTTATGTTAATTTGTTCAAACAGATGACAGCACTCTACATGCAGGAATTCAGAGTGACAAGCCGATGTCTGCCGCTGAACTGGAAAAAAGAAGACTAGCGACGACTTCTTCTCTGACAAGAGACCTGGAAGCTATCACTGGTTGGGGACGCAACAATCTTGTACAGTTCAATGCTTCCAAAACACAGTACTGTACTTTGATGAACAAAAAGCGTCCTAGCGCTCATACAGTTTCGATGGACGGTCGAGTTCTACCAAAGAGCCATTCATTTCGGCTGGTCGGAGTCAAGATCACCGAGGACCTGATCTGGCACGAACACATCTCTTCAATAGCTGCAGCTGCTGGGAAAAAGCTAGGCTATTTGTTTAGGGCTAAGAAGTACTTTTCTCCGCATGACCTTCTCACTCTATACAAGGCCCAGATAAGGCCTAGCCTCGAGTATTGCTCACACATTTGGGGTGCTGCCGCCCCGACTACATTGTCCATGCTCGATGCTGTCCAGAGGAGGGCGGTCCGACTGATCGATGACTCTTCTCTAACAGACAGTCTCGGGACTCTTCCATGATGCCGCCGCGCGATGTGCCTGCCAGAC